AGAAATGTGTGAAAGAGCTGCACCACCCAGTGCAGATTCCCGGGCGCTTAAAGCAAGAATGGTGCAGGGCCACAAGAAGGCAAAAAGGGAGCAAAGGGCAGCACCAAGGGGCACTGGATGACCAAGGTTACGGGAATAAGATACCCGGCCAAACGATGCAGCTAGTTGCAAAAAATAAGCCCTTCCTTCGAAGATTTCAGCGTCCCTTTGTTGTTCTTCGGTGGCGTCGCGTCCTTCTGACCCATAGCCATCCTAAACACAGAAGGACACACTGCCATCCTGCGCCACCCATTGTTGTTGTGTGTGAGCCCACTGCTGCAGGCCGGCATCAATTCATCTCCCTGAGGGCTTCCTCTTGTTCGCTGGCTCTTGACTTTCCAGCATGATGTCCCCCTCCAAGGTCTCCCCCGACAACCGTCTGAAGTCGGTAAGAGGAAGGCTCGCCATCCTTGCTTCGAAGAAACACTCTAGCCAGACGTCTCCCACAGCAGCATGCTAGGGAAAAGGAAAAGTACCTTCCTCTTCAGCAAAGGGAAATAAAAAGGAGGCTGTCTACTTCCGAAAAGATTTAAAGCGTCGGAAACCCTGTAAAAGAACATTATGGGTCGAAATGAACTTGATGTGTGGGGTTTTCATGACGGTTTCCAGCCGGAGACAGAAACTGTGAGAGCAAATCCGGGTAAGGGAGGGGAGACAGAAAAATGAAACCTTCCGCCCATGCTTGGCAACCCGGAAGTCGTGTCACAACCGAAGAAAATAAATCCGCCGGACAATTCTAAAGCGCCGGCGAGGCACGCCTTCAGAATTGGCCAATGAGCGTGCGTGTTATCGCCAACGTGTGGGCGTGGCTCAGACGTCCGTGGCGCGCGCAGGCGTACTTAAACGCACTCGGTTTGCGCGCACTCCGGCGACGTTCTCGAAATTCCGCGGCTGCGATGGCGGGCACGGGCTTGGTGGCGGGCGAAGCCGTGGTGGATGCGCTCCCCTACTTTGACCAAGGTTATGAGGCACCCGGCGTGCGGGAAGCGGTGAGTAAGGGGTCGCGGGCAGCCGGCCGCCGCTCGGGAGCACGTGACCGTTCCCGCCCCGCTGAGCCGCTGTTCCCCTCCGCAGGCGGCCGCGCTGGTGGAGGAGGAGACTCGCCGGTACCGCCCCACCAAGAACTACCTGAGCTACCTGACGGCCCCGGACTATTCGGCCTTTGAGGTAAGTGGGCTTCTTGAGCCCAGCGTTATCAGAGAGCTTTCCGGTGGGTGTCTGCATTGACAGCCTCAGCTGCGTAAAGGTGCATTTCAAACGCCCGCGTTACCCGTCGCGCAGCCGTGGCCGACCTTGTCGCGCAGTTTCTACCCGTGACAAACGACTCGGTTTCTGATCCCGAGACCCCTAGAAGGATTTTCTGGTAAGTTCGTGAATCCCAAACTGGGCAGAAAAATTGGTGTGTACATTTTTTTTCTTTCTGAAATAGGATCCATACATTTCCAAAGGAACCTGCAAATTACAAAGGTCTGCTTTAAAACTATTGATCCTCGTTTGTTGGGTGGGTACTGGGTTTGTCCGCAGCTTTATTGCTTTGACTCTTGAAAACCACTGGAGGGCGGGCTTTGTGTGAAAGCCTCGAAGTGCTTACACTGGAAGAGTGTGACTGAAGGGGGGGCATGTCCTATCTGAATTACTTACGTGCCATTTTAAATGATTTATCTTACTAATGAATTCAAGATACTCATTAAGGTCTAACCTGCTGGATGTAAAATACTATTTCTAAATTGTTGGATAATTTGAGACATCCCCGTACCTAATGGGTTTGGAATTCCCCCTCCCCATTATACGTAACCGTTTATTTATGAAAGGGTTTTATTATTAAAAAACAGCATTTATGTTTATATATGTATTTAACCATCTTTACTGGCATATAATTCACAAACTATACCAATGAGTAGTTCAACCATATTAAGAAGAGTTTTACAATAATCACAATCAATTTTAGCACATTTTCTTTGTTCTTGTGCTCATAGTTATTAACTCCCCACTTCCCCCCAACTTCTGCCATACCCCCAAGGAACCATAAATCCAGTTACTGTTTCTGTAGATTTATCTATCCTGGATTTCATATACAGAAAAACATTTTTAAAAGAAAACGACAAAATTAAGAACAATAACAAAAGAAAACAAGATATTAAGAAGTGGGTCAAAAAGGAGATCAAATGATGGGGTATTAAATAAATTTTAACCTAACTGCCTCTGCAATAATCCCATCTTCCAAGGCATTCTGCATGATAGCAAGACTATTCACATCCTTGTCTATTCACCAGAGGGAGAGTCACCAGAGAAGTTCATCCACATCTATATTGACGTTGAAAGGAAAACTGTTCATAAAAATTTAAATAGAAATATTCCCATGAAATGCTGTTTCATAATATAAATGCTGTCTTCTCATGGGTGTTTTTAGATGCTCAGTGCTGTCAAATCAATTCATAAGAGCCCTCACGTGCAGCCACATAACAAAGTTATGTTTCAGCCCGTTGTTGCAGCCACTGTTGCAGTCAGTTCCTGGGGTTGGGGGCCTTCTTTCTGTGACCTCTGCTTTACCAGAAGGAACCTGGTGGTGGAGTGGGTGACCAGAGCTGCTGTGAGGTCAGCAATTCAAACCCACCAGCCACTCCTTGCGAGATAGGTGAGGCTGTCTGCTCTTGTGAAGGTTTACAGCCTAAAGGGCAGTTCTACTCTGCCCTAAAGGGTTGCTGTGAATCAGAATCCACTGAACGAGGGTGAGTTTGACTTAGTTTGGGTTTTCTTATTACCAAGCTTGTCCTACGCCAGGGACTAGTCTGTTCTGCAACGTGTCCAAAGTACCATCATGACCCTTTGTAGGAGCGTTCTACCCGTACTTCCTCCAAGACAGGTTTGTTTGTTATTCTGGCAAACAATAAGGAAATCTATAATTTGCAAAAAGGAAATAGATTGATGGTTGCATAGCAGGGAAAGATGAGAGAGTAGAAGGGTAATGACTGAGGTGTGTGGAGTTTTTATGATGTTGGGTTATGAAAATATTCTGAAATTGACTGTGGTGCTATGTATGAGTCGCTCAGTTGTGTATCTTTTTTAAAAAATCGCTTTATTGGGGGCTCATACAACTCTTATCACAATCCATATGTACATCCATTGTGTCAAGCACATTTGTACATTTGTTGCCATCATCATTCTCAAAACATTTGCTTTCTGCTTGAGCCGTTGGTATCAACTCCTCCAATTGTGTATTTTTAACAGTTGGATAGTACGGTTATGAGTTAGACAGTAGCTCATTCAAGCTGTTGAGAAAACTTGTAAGCAGGAAATTGGGCTCTGGAAGGCACTTGCTTACTATTCAGTCTCTGTTAGAACAGTTGAAGCTTGCAGAATACTGAAATTACATGGGCTAAGTTAATATTGTGCGTAAACGGTACTTGATCTTTAGAGTAGGTTCTTCCTACCCCCCAGCAAAGTATGAAGAAAATAACAGCCAGGACCAGAAAGTATAGATTTGAGCTCAGAGCACATTATTTTATGGTTCTCAACACTGACTTTACATTTAACTGGTGTATGATTAAACAGTTATGACCACCATGTCCAAGTCCCATCTCAGAAATTAAATGGACGTAAGCGAGAAGACCAGGTTTAGAATGGCTTTCAGCTCACCCCACCTGATTGCAGTGTTCTACTGTGAGAAGTGGGGGTGGGTGTAGTACTTATTCAGATGCCACATTTCCTGTCTGAGCTGGATATGGAATTGGAGGAATTTGAGGTCACTGTGTGTATATAATTTTTACTATAGTTTCTATTTAGTTCAGAGAAAATTTGGAGGGGCGTTCCCTGATTTAATTTAATTAATACAATGTAACTGATTGTATACATCTCTGGGAGCCACTGCTTGTTGTCGAGTGTAGTGCCTATGGCTGCTGACTGAAAGGTTGGAGGGTTCCGCCACCCGAGGGGTGCTGTGGAAGGAAGGCCTCGTGATCTGCTTCCACAAAACCAAGTATTTAGACTTTTGTCAAGAGTCAGAGTTGACTCAGCAGCAACTGATGGTGTGTAAGAACCCAGTTAGGCTAGTTTGATTGCTCATTTAGTGGTTGCTCGTTTCAATTTGTAGTTACAATTTTGTTTCTCTGATTTACTTATCAGACCGACATAATGAGAAATGAATTTGAAAGATTGGCTGCTCGACAACCAATTGAATTGCTCAGTATGAAACGGTGAGTGCTCTTTCTCAGTTGAGTGCAGCTCATTGTTCCCTTTAATTTATTAGTAAAGTTGGACTGTAGCCATGTCAAAGCCAGTGTTCTTGTATGATAGATGAAAGAAGTGCCCCAGAATCTGTAAACAAAAACCTGGCTTTCCTTGCAATGCTTAAGCAGTGCGTTTGTGAGAACCACTAGTAACGCACCTGTCAAAGCAAAGTCTACCAGGTGTCTGGTTCCCAAAGGATAACCCTTTTGAATTTCTTGAGTAATCAAAGTCCCTTTATTATCACCTCCAAGCAACAGTTGAGGATTTGTGCAAACAAGTGGGGTCTGGCTAGGCCACAGAGAGCATATCTAGTCAGCTAATCTCAGGAAGGAAGAGGGATATGATTTAGTCAATCATGAATAGTCATTGAGGCCCCAATATAACTGCAATAAGGCCAAATAATGGCTAAGCATGGAAGTTCCGTGCGCTTCCTGGTTGGAAACAGCACAGGAGAAGGTCCACACATCTTGGAGCCATGGAGACACTGTGGTTTGGCCTTGGCCTTGCGTGTCTCTTCAGATTTTTTCAGGTTGTAATAGATTTGTTATACTCTTCATAAATTCTTTGAGTCACTCCAAGGAATGAGTAAACTCACAGGAGTAATGAGAGCCAACAGGGCCTGGCAGCTGCCTAGTTGGCACCCCAAAGAGCTCTGTCCTTGCACTGTGTGTTCTGACCTAACTCGGCATGGCCAGGATCCAGAAAAGACTGTGCAGACAGCTCGCATAAAGGACTAGTAGTGTTCTTTTAAGTTGTGTGCTCTGACCTAGCATGGGGCTGGTGGTCATTCTGAAAGAAGATGTTCTTTTAACTTGTAAGTCCTGAAACCGCTCTGGTTGGCTGGGTTCAGAGAGAGTGCTGCTTGAAACAGTTGGCAACAGAGATGAAGTGGAAAGATGAGGACTAGACACGTTCCAGATGAGAGTTTGGATCCATGCTGATCCTTACCATGCAGTTAAAGAGGGGCTTGAGTCTGGCTTCTCTGGAGAGGCAAACCCAGTGAGGCTTATATACATATATACACAGAGGGAGAAATTTCCTTTAAGGAACTGTCTCACACTGTGGTGAAGGCTGTTAAGTTCCAAATCTGGGTCAAGTGACAAGCTAAAGACCTTTGAAGGCTCACATGGTTACTGGGGCTCAGAGGCCCCAAACCTGCAGGTCCTGCAGCGGGCAAGAGACCTCAGACTTGGGGTTGCAGGGTTGGTAGCACCCAACTCTGCAAGTCAGGCAACAGGCTAGAGATAGGTTACAGGGCTAGATTGATAAATCTTTCTCAGCTTATATTATTTCCTTATATTGATGACATGATTACTTTTTTACTGTTGCATACATAAAATCTTATTTATAAATTAAGATAAGGAGGTTTCTTGTGAGTTATGCATCTTATTTTCAGTCTCTGGTAGAATTTACAGTATGTGTAGGCCCCTGGGCCATTCACTCTGTTAGGAAGAACAACAGTTTGGGGAAATATGATTTTACTTTGCTTTTTTGTTCTTTAATTTTAGATATGAGCTTCCAGCCCCTTCATCGGGTCAGAAAAATGATATCACTGCATGGCAAGAGTGTGTGAACAACTCCATGGCCCAGTTAGAGCACCAAGCCGTTCGAATTGAGAATCTGGAGCTCATGTCACAGCATGGGTGCAATGCCTGGAAAGTATATAATGAGTAAGAGCGGTTTCTTTGTCTACTTTATCTTGCTTAAAATCTGTCCCTTCCCCAACTTTGTTAGGGGTTGTGAGTTGAAAATAAGCATAGCTGTATTCTAACTTGGGACGGGGCCCACAGACTACCGACCCATATGAAGCCCCACTGCTATAAGGCTCAATCTTACACATCACTCTGTGGAGATCTTTATAACAAGAGAACAACAGAAAAGAATTTGCTGTCAGAGCTAGCCTCTAAGCTCCTATTTTTGTTTTGTGTAAGTAGCTTCATCATTATTATCTACCTTGAGTTCATTTTCCTTATTTTTAAAGTTTGGGTGCTAGACTGTCTTTGGGCACCATGGAGCTGAAAATCCTCTGAGCATCTCAATAGTGTAAGGAAGAAAAGACCATGACGTTTAGAGAGGATCGTTTGACTTGAGTGAAAGTCTACCACTGATGGTTGGGAGGTGTTTAAAGCCATGTGAACTGGGGTGGCTGAGGGAAAATCAAGGGAGACCTAGCTGTGTAAAAACTTGAGCGAGAATCACGGCTCGTAGAAGGAGAGCAGTCTGAGACAGGAGAGTAACTCAGGTGAGCAGACTTGGACTGTGTTGTCAGCCTTCCACTTTTCTTTTTCCCTCCTCGAGCTCGGGGTACACAGTAGGGAAGCAAGGTAAGACAGATGTTTATACACAACTAGAACGGAAAGGGGGTTCTAAATGACGACCCATATCAGATACTTTCCACTTACGAAAAGCAGTCATGACAGTGTAAGAAATGGCATAAAGAGCTTAAAAAACGGTAACAGCTCTAGAATGGAAAAGACTTCAATTAGCTCTGACAAATACCTCATTCTTCACAAGTAAAATAGGTGTAATAAATTATTACTCCTGCCTCAAAGAATTTCTATGGAAATTAAATTATCTAATTCTAACTCATGCTTCCATGTGAATCAGAGTCAACAACAAATGTTTATTAAAGGCATTGGTAGCAGGCAGGAGGCCCAGGTTTTTTCCCAGCCAGTGCATCTCAAAGACTCCCGCAGAGGCTTGTGTGCTGCTATGATGCTCAGCAGGTTTCGATGTCGTTGCCACACTGAGATAAAGGAAGAAATCCGCCAGGGAAAACCCTGCAGAATCCAAGAGTCTGATCCTATTTTGCATGGGTCACCGTGAATTGGGGCATCTCTACAGCAACTAACAGCAACCGCATTTTAAAAGTATCTTGCTGGATGCTTGGCATAGAGAGCTTAATCGTTACTAACTGCTTTGAGCAGAAACATGTAACTTTGTCAGCCAGAAAGTTCCCTGTTGGTTGGCACAAATACACCTTAATGTACCTTAACCTCTCTTCTTTAGAAACCTAGTTCATATGATTGAACATGCCCAGAAGGAGCTCCAGAAGTTACGGTAAGTCATTGCTGTATTTTAGAATAAAGTTTAGGTAAACCTATAATAAAATTGATAGAGTGGGAGAAGAAATCTGTGAGATCTCTGTCGCGTGAGAGTGAAAGGGGGAAGAGGGCACTAAAACTGATTGTGATGATACGTATAAAGCTCTTTTTAAAAAAAATTATTAGTTGGTATGTAATACATGCATCTGTCTAAATTTCAGTTACATTAAATAGAATGTACAATTGCTAACATAATCAGTTTCCAAACATTCTTTTTCTACATGGACTCCTTTACATATTTTTAATTGCTTTAACCAGGGTAGTGTATCATATGTGAATGCTATATCAAGAAAACTTAAAAGAAGAAACCAAACTTGACCTGTGGTTACAATGGGTGAAGGAGAAAGAGTTGATGCTTCGGGGCATTGAGTTTGCATTAATGGTGGTGGAATAATGTGGGAAAGGCTATCAGTAATGGTACAACACAGAGAGTTGTGGCACTGAATGCTACATATAGAAGTCGTAGAATTGGAGAATGTTTTGTTAATGTAGACTATTTTTGCCAAAAATATGAGAAAAAATTACATGAATAACAATCAGTACAAGAAAGTAGAAAATGTTCTAGAATTGAATGTGGTGATAATTGTACAACTTTTCTTAATATGATTGAATTATATGAAATATGGATGAAGTACAATAAGGCTTTTTTAAAATGTACCACAAAAAATATCAGTCACTGAATTGTTTGAATAAATTCTATCAAACTTAGGAGTATAAACAAAATAAATAAATAGTTGGATCAACCTTTGTCTCCCTTCTGATGGACATAGTGTTCATGCTGAGGGTGGGAGAGAGATCTGACATCTGAAATCCTCAGGTCATTCGTACCTTGTAAATCAGAAGACAGGAAATACACTTTAAAACCGGGGAGAAGTTAGAGACTCGCATGTATAATCTAATTAGTATGTAATAAACTAATCTCTGTACATGTACACATAGTAGAAGTCACCAAACTTGAACAGTAATAACTAGAGAGAACAGCAGGGGAAAGGGCCTCGTGTGCGCGCACGCTTTCCAGTGAGCCATTCTATAAAATTTATAATTTAACTAATTCCCCCAAAACATAAACTCACGGCCAATAAGTTGATTCCAACTTGGTGACCCTATAAGACAGACTAGACCTGTCCCTGTGGGTTTCTGAAACTTAACTCTTTACAGGAGTTGAAAGCCTGGTTTTTCTCCCACTGAGCAGCTAGTGGTCTCAAACTACTGACCTTGAACTAGGGCTCCTTTAAAAAAATAATCATTGAAACAAATTAATTCCTGGCAGTAATTTATAACCGTCCTTCCCAAGGTTTAAAGATATTATCTGATGTTGATGATTGATTTTTCTGTTGTATTTAGTCTAAGGATAAAGTCTAATTGGGTTGTATAAATGATTTTCTATAGGAAACATATTCAAGATTTAAACTGGCAGCGAAAGAACATGCAACTAACAGCTGGGTCTAAACTGAGAGAAATGGAGTCAACGTAAGTACCCTCACTGCCGTCATTCATCTTTTCGATCACTTAGCACATTGTTAAGGTCAAGATTCAACAGTAGGACTCAAAACCATGTTTAAAAATGATGCCATAGTATCTGAGGGGTGCTACCATCTGGAGCCCACCCTTCATGGCCGCTTCTGAAGTGATGAGAGAGCAACAGACAAGACGTTAGCTGCTGTTAACTTAGCCACCTCTTCACGCTCTTTTCAGACTAGAGTTTTTGCTTCTGCCTAGTACTCTACATATATTCCTCTTTTCAAAAGAAGGGGGGAAAGTATACCTTTTCCGTAAGTGTTTCAGGAGGGAGATCCCATGCCTTTTTTGATAGTTTGTCAGTGTCTCCCTTTTGATCTCTTTGTTTACACATTCTATTCTTAAAATGCCCTTCTACATCTAGTCACGTGTGTTAATGTATACAAATCCCACATGTTGTTAAGTGCCAGTGATTGAGCTGTTTTGGCCCATACTGACTGCGTGTAACTGCCCCTATGGGTTTCTAGATTGTAATCTTGGCAGTCACACATTGCCAGGTCTTTTTTGCAGTGTCGCCACTGGGTGGGCTTGGACCATCAGCCCTTTGAGCAGCTGAGCACTTTACCATTACCTCTAGGGCTCCGTAATGTCTGTCTAGCATCACAAATTTGGTATTGTTTTTGCTTCACTGTATCTCTCCCCTTCAGTCACCCACATGATTCTTGCCTCACCCTTGGCAAGAATCACCTCAACCTCCAGTTATTGTGTAGCCTTACACATTTTTTTTTCAAAGTTGATCCTATAAATCTAGAGGTGTGGAGGTCCATGTGTTCTTACTTCTTCTGGATAATTGATCACTCAGTTTTCTGTGTCTCCCTTACCTGTGTCCGATGGGCTTGTTGTGGTTCTTGTTAAGAGCACACAGAGCAAAACACGCCCCAGGTCAGCTGGTTCCAGGCGCGCCTTTTATGGCATGATCCCGCTCTTTGAGTCCTGCGACTATTCGGGTTTTCTGAGTTCTTCCCCTGGTGACCTAAGCTCCTCGCTTCCGAAGGTTCCTATACAGCCTTTGGTATTACTGTCATTTTGATCTGATACAAATAGCTTATAAAAGAACAGAATGCCCAAGGTAACCAGGTTTTATTGATTACGCTGAAGTGTTGTTTGATTTTTAAGATTTCAGGGCAGTGGTTTGAGGGATTCATTCAGCCCCTTGGGCTCCAGAAAGTCTGTGTTCTGTGAAAACTTGAAAGTCTGTTCTGCATTTTCGCTCTCGATCAGGATTCTTCTATAAAAATCTTAGAGGAAAATGTTCAGTGGTGGTAGCTGGGCACCATCTACCTCTACAGGCCTCCTGGCAAAAAAGGGCATTTGTTTATGGAGGTATTTAGCCATATCTTCCATATTCCTGACTCCTTCCTTTATTGTTATAGGTAAATAGAGGCCATTTGCCTTGCCTTGGATGACTACATGCAACTTACTATTTTTTAAATTAAACTTCTTTTACTTTGAGATCATTGTAATTGTACAGTTATAAGAAACATAGATAACAATATGTCCTTTACCCCGTTCCCTCATTTGTGCCTCAAATTGTTTTTTAGTGGAAAGTTAAAAATGAAAGCTTGTGGGGGAGGAGGTTCTTGAAACCTGGCAGATGCTGGGCTTGGTCTATGCTGCTTGGGTTCCACCCGAGAGATGCTGTACCCTGTGAGAGCCACCCCATCTCCCAAATCCAGCTCCACTGCTCCAGGCTACTTTGTCTGCACCCCCTTGTAGTGATCATGAGAACCACCTCAGTCACCCACCCCAATTGAAGCTCAATTAATTATGTGTGTCCCATAGCACTTCAGAGCCTTCGCTGGGACCCCTGACTCAGGCATGCGCACACACACACCCTTCTACTTCCCCTGACACATACACACACCACATCACCCCACCCCCCTACTGCTTCCCGAAAAAGGACAAGAGTCAGGGGACTCAGTGCCACCCTCAGCCTAGACCCAAAGACCTGCTGCCCCTCAGTGATCACCCGCTTCAAGCCCCCGTGACTCGCAGTGGAAAAGCACCTGGCAGAAGGCCCAGAAGAAGTTGGCCTCTGTCTTCTGAAGCCCAGCTGTGACATCTGAGAAACGAAGCCCTCTTCCACCTCAACATGGGGAGGGCGGGGTCCTTGAAATGCAACCAGTTCCTAGGGTCCCAGGCCTTATCCCTCCCCCCCTCCCCCCGTGCCAATGACTAAGCTGCTCTTGGGGACTTAGCTCCATCTGAGCAGTAGAGACCACTCACCCCACAGCTCCTTCCACAGTTGCTTAGCCTGGCCCCCTCCATATGGCGAGGCTGAACACTCGTGCAAGGCCTGATGGAGACTCCAGGGAACAGACTGGTTTCTGAGCTTGGAGCTGGGGAGGGAGGGGATGGTCACCACCTCTGCCTGAGACAGTCCCAGCAGGGTTCCTAAGTCCCACCCAGACACGCGCTTTGCAGGAAGGCCGTCATCAGTGAATGCTTTACCCAGCCTTACGCATGATTTCATTAAAGCGAAGGTCAAATGTTTGTCCAAAAAAATGTAGGTTTGAGTTATGATGGTGGATGAAAATATACCTTAAAAATCATCCAAAAGAAATTTTACTTTGAGTAATTTCTCTCTTTTTTTCTCTTCTAGTTGGGTATCTCTGGTTAGTAAGAATTATGAGATTGAACGGACTATTGTACAACTAGAAAATGAAATCTATCAAATGAAGCAGCAACATGGCGAGGCAAACAAAGAAAATATTCGACAAGACTTCTGAGAGAAATTGTTTTATAAGAAGGACGAGAATGATTGAACGATTGAATTATATGTAAATTTAATTTTTTTAAAAAAGGAAATCAAAAAGTGGAATAAAAAAATATTTTACCTAGGTGACGGATATGTTCAGAAACAATCACTGCTCAATTTGATGTTTATGTTTAATAAAGACATCTATGATTTTGTAACAAGTTTGGTTTCCACAGATGACCAGGCATCTGAACAGTTCCTGACCTTGAAGAACCAACAGCCACTATGGAAACTCGGTGGCTAAATTTTAGGAGCCATAGAATATATAAACATGTAAAGTTTTCAACATGTACAAGAATTTGAGGGGATTGAAATGAATGTGGTGAAACAAAATGAGTGTGAATTGTTGATTGTAAATGTGATCATCTACTTTGTAAATATTCCGCTAAGCTACAATAAAAGTTTTGATTTGTTTTTTTAATTCTGCCCAGCTGAGAAAACTGGATAAGCAGTAAAAAGGATAAACAGCAGTAGTATAGAAAGACCTTTTTATAAGTCGAGCACAAAGCTCATTGCAGAAGGCAGGAAAAGATAAACTGAGTACTGTTTGACCTGTGTGACTAGTCGGTGGTTTTGCATTTGTTGAGGAAAAGCACTGGAGAACCGTTTGCATCAAAGGACGTCGTTTGTGATTTCCGACCATCTTTAAAACCTTGGTGCTTTGCTTTCCCATTTCCTCTCTACACTTGAAGTGTGGACTTTGAAACATAAGTGGAGTTGAATGTACTTGACATTGTGAAGTGAAGCTGATGCCGGGCAAGAGTTCAGTTGTGCTCCTTTGTTCGTCCTTGTGAGTGGTTCCTGCTTGACCCCCTTGGAGGCCAGGCCTGGTGTTTGGAAAGGTCACAGTATAGGAAACGAGCCCTACTGTCCTACATGTAGGGTCACCAAGAGTCCAAATCTACAGCAACTAACAAAAATCTGAAAATTGGCAAATCTGTTCTTCGTGGGACTCTGGATAGTTGACCTAGTTGATTGCAGTAGAAAATGCAATTAGAGAAATCTATGTAATGTATCACTATCAAGAAGGTAGGTTCTAATTATGAAATAATATTCAGAATGTTGAGAATTGGCATCCACAGTAGAGTCTAGTGGCCTAAATCACAGGGCAGCTGAGATCGTATGTTAAGTGAGGGGAAGTGGTTTTTGTTAGACATTTCCTTATGATGAGGTACTGTTTAAATTTCAGATATTTTTTAGAGAGGTTACGAAACTTAAGCCGGAAAAATACAAGGTTTTACTGTATGTTTCAACGTTCCAGCTTTTTAGACACAGCTACCTCAGCTTCTTCCCTTGTTTGTACTTCTGCCTGCCCTAGACTTGTTCAGGAATTCCCATGCATCTTAAGGCTAGTGTCAGAAAAGACATTGAATGTTCTTAGTTGACTAGAGACCAATGAATAGATTCAAGAGTTAAGCAAAACTTTTTCAAAGACTGTACGTTTTAAAATAAGGATCTTTGTTTTACTCAAAGGGGCCTAATATTAGCAGAGTCCTTCCCTCAGTAGATATGACTACTGTCACGTCAAATTCCATTTTTCGTTCCCAGCTAGATTCAGCCTGGACTGAACTGTAGCTGCTGACATGAGAAGTCCATTCTTAGAGGAAGTGAAGTGCTCGAACACTGTCTACACACCGATTTAAATGGAGAAGGGTAAACACTGAATAGAAGGGTGTTAGTTTACAGCTAGAACCTGAAGTCAGGACTGCCATGTATACCAAATGTTGCAATATTTTGAGGCCTTTGTTTTGGTTTTCTTGCCCAATGGATTCTTTCCAGTATCAAATAATCCAATTAGCTGCACCTTCTACACAACCCCAAGAAGTGAGATCTCAAACCCTTCCCTGCTGAGACTGGATTCCAGGTAATCCCTGCCCCTTGCCAAATCCCATTCTCTGATGGTTCCTCTAGATTGCTAGTACTGTATATAGCAATAGTGGGTGACTCACAGAAACACCACGTTTCCTTGTCCCAGGTGAGTTTGCTGTGCCAATTTCAGGTTCTCTAAAACCAAACTTGTTGCCACTGAGTTGATTCCAACTCCGAGAAAGGCCCTGTAAGTATAACAGCCCCTGTGGGTTTCTGAGAGGGAACAAAACTCACATGGAATGGTGAGTTTGGTTAGCAGCCCAATGCATAACCTGGTAAGCGGCCAGGTCCACTAATTTCAGGCTATTACTCCATAAAAAGCAGTAGCTATGGAAGACAAAATACTATAGCTAATGTTTGTGGGTGGGTGGTTTTTTGGGAGGGGACTTGGCAGTGGGGTGATGTTGAGTATTTGGTTTCTAAGTTTTTGTTTGGTGGATGAAGGTTTACAAAACAAACCAGTTTTCCAATCATAAATTCATCAGCATTTTATTGGTTCTGATTCTTCAAACTGAACTTACTCTTTAAATTTTGCTCTATTTATGAGATTCATTAATAGCCACAGTGATTGAGGATAAAGTCCAACAAAGCTAAGAGAAAACCAAGTCTGTACCATTAGATGGATTGCCGGAGCAAGTTAGCCCACCTCCAATATAAGAACTAATAAATTGTTTAATCTGTTTAAGCAGCTTTGAATTGGTTTGACATACGAGGGAGCACCCCCAAAAAACAAATTGCACTGGGCGGAGCAGAGCTTTTGTAGTACAGCATTTTCCCCACTAGGTGAGCATCCAGCAGCTAGCTCTGAATTAGTGCACCCAGTGGCATCACCTGGGAAGAGTGGTCACAGTGAATTTTTTCATGAAAGTTTCACCTGAATCTAATTTTTTTGTTATTGGCAATTTAAGAGAACAGAAATTTTGTTTACTGCCAGGGAAAAATGTCGCCTACTTTGTGAACACAGTTTACAAGGACCGCTTTGGGAAAAACTAGTGTATGAGTGATTTTCTTGTTTCAAAAAAGGTTAAGTGATAGTTGATGACAAACCTTGTTCTGGATGTTCATGAACTTCCCAAATGGATGAAAATATTAACTAGTACTGCAATTGGAGTTTGTTCTACCTGGTCAGACTGTTAGTCAAGCTTTATATTTAGAGGTTCTGAAAAGATTGTGTAACAGTGTGACAAAAAAAGGCCTGATTTTGGCAGATGGGAACTGGTTTTGCCACCATGACAACACATCTGCTCATGCAGCCAGCTCAGTGCACCAGTTTTTGGCAAAAAACAGCATCCCTCTCGAGCTACACACTCCTTACTCACCTGACCTCGCTCTGTGCAACTTCTGTTTCTACAAATGAAGAGGGACCTGAAAGGACACTGATTTGATGATGTAGAAGAGGAGAAGAAAAAAACGAGGGAGGTGCTGTCAGCCATCCAAACGTGAGTTTGAGAAATGTTTCCAAGAATGGAGTTGCAGATTTGACAAATTTATTAAGTGTAATGGAGTGTACTTTGAAGGGGCTAGTTATTTTCTTTTTAAAATCATTGGTGGCCCATACAACTGTTAGCACAATCCATACATGCATCCGTCGTGTCAAGCACATTTGTATATTTGTTGCCATCATCATTCTCAAAACAGTTTCTTCCTACTTGAGCCCTTGGCATCAGCTCATTTTTTCCCCTCCCTCATGAACCCTTGATAATTTATAAATTACCATTGTCATGTCTTACCCTGTCTGATGTCTCCCTGTACCCACTTTTCTGTTGTCCGTCCCCCAGGGAGGGGGTTATATGTAGATCATTGTGATTGGTTCCTCCTTTCTGCCTCTCCTTCCCCTTCCTGTCCTCTCATTATTGGTCCTGAGGGGTTTATCTGTCCTGGATTCCATGTGTTTCTAGTTCTTATCTGTACCAGTGTACATTCGCTGGTCTGGCCGGATTTGTAAGGTAGAATTGGGATCATGATAGTGGGCCGTGGGAAGGAAGCATTAAAGAACTAGAGGAAAGTTGTATGTTTCATCAGTGCTATACTGCACCCTCACTGACTCATCTCCTCCCCGAGACCTTTCTGTAAGGGAATGTCCAATTGCCTACAGATGGACTTTGGGTCCCCACTCCACACTTCCCCTCATTCACAATGATATGATTTTTTTGTTCTCTGATACCTGATCCCATCGACACCTTGTGCTCTCACAGTCTGGTGTGCTTCTTCCATGTGGGCTTTGTTGCTTCTGAGCTAGATGGCCACTTATCTTCAAGCCTTTAAGACCCAGATGCTCTATCTCTTGATAGCTAGGCACAATCAGCTTTCTTCACCACATTTTCTTGTGTACCCGCTTTGTCTTCAGCAATTGTGTCAGGAAAGTGAGCATCATGGAATGCCAGTTTAATTGAACAAAGTGTTCTTGCATTGAGGGAGTACTTGAGTAGAGGCCCAATGTCCACCTTAATACTAAACCTATAAATATGTACACATAGATCTATTTACCCATCCTTATTTATAAGTATACTTACATGTGTACCTACCTGTGTTTAGACCTCTATAAATGCCCTTTGCCTCCTAGTTCTTTCTTGTAAGTTCTTTTACTTTCCTCTTGTCCCACTATCACGCTCAGCCTTCATTTGGGTTTCAGTAATTCCTCTCGGTTACATGGCCCTTGATCAAGCCCTATAGGGGATAAGGTTATTTTTTAAAACAATTTAAATAAATAACTTTGAGAAAAAACTCCAAGGTGGTTTTTTGTTTTGTTTGTTTGGAAACCCCCTTGTAAACTGTTCTAATTTAAGCAAGGTCTGCGGTGCTCAAATCATGTGCTATGGCCCTTCTAGCCATAGTCTGTAACTCCCCCAAAGGACTGTATAAACTGCCATTGTGTCTGTTTCAACTCATAGCAACCTTGTAGGACAAGGTAAACTGCCTCTGTGCTTTTCCAAGACGATTTATGGGAAAAGAAAGCCTCTTTCTTCTATAGAGCAGCTAGTGGTTTGTTACTGCTGACCTTGAGGCCGGCAGCTGAATGCCTGGGCACGACCACACCGGGCCTCCTCAAATGACAGGCTAGGATGATGCAAATGTGAGGTGCTTGTGGCCCACTAAGGGAACTGGACATTGAATAGGAAGACCGAGGAAGAAGCGATGCGTTTGCATTGTGGAGCTGGAGAAAAATCACGAAAACACCCTAAACTGCTAAAAGGACAAACAAATCTGTCTTGGAAGAAGTACAGTAAGAGTGTTCTTTAGAGGCGAGGACGGCAAGACTTCATCTTACATACTTTGGACCTACTGTCAAGAAAAAGTCGTCCCCGGAGAAGGACAACAAACTTGGTAAAATGGAGTGGCAGTCGCTGCACAGGCGTAGGAACAACTGTGAGGTGGCACGGTGTTTCGTTCTGTTGTGCAGAGGTTCGTTCGGATCTTAACCAACTCAATGACACCCAATAGCTTGCTAATAACATCAACGAGGCTCATAGTGCACTTGTGGGGTCTTCGTCGATGCCACTGAGTCAGTTCCATCCCATCGTGACCCGATCAACAACACACTGCCTAGTCCTG